TATATATATATATATATATATATATATATATATATGTATATGTATATATATATATTTTAAACTTCTTCCCTTGGTATACCTATATAGGAGTGAGATTACTGGATGAAAAGAAAGGTGCTGTTACTTAGCTAATGGGATGTACACTGCAAGTTCTTGGAAAGGAGGAGGATGCAGTGGATGGAGTGCTTAAATAACAAGAGTCTAGCAGCCATGAGGAAAGTGTTGGGGTTTGGGAGATGATACAAGAATAAAGGAGACTAGCTAGAAGGATAAAATGACCTCAAAGATGTGAAGGCCCGGTCTATGGTAGTTATAGTGGGATTGGGAAGAAAATGAACAAGTAGGACATTTTGAAGAAAAAAAAATGGTAGGTTATGGTGACTGAAGATAAAGCGTATATGATGTAAGATGACTTGAAGTTTTCCAACTTGAGATAGTAAATGAACTTGGGATATTTTGCCTGGAGGAAAAGACTAAGATTTTCTGGTTCCCTTTCAATATTTGAAGGATTGTCACATGAAAGGAGATCTCTGTGTAGCTGCAAGGAACAGAGGCAAATATAGGGCAGTATCTCGTAACAGAGCAGACTCATGATGGAATAAAGGACTTTCAGAGGTGATATATTTCTTAACAGTGAAGTAGTTCAGGCAGAGATTTAATGGCTGTCTATTCAGGATATTTATGTAGAAAAGGCTCACATGTCGGGTAGAGCTGTGTTTCTCAATCTTGTTTTTAGAAAGCAAAAACTGGCCGGGTGCAGTGGCTCATGCCTGTAATCCCAGCACTTTGGGAGGCTGAAGCGGGTAGATCATTTGAGGTCAGGAGTTCGAGACCAGCCTGTCCAACATTGTCAAACTTCATCTCTACTAAAAATTCAAAAATCAGCCTGGTGGTAGTAACACGCACTTGTAACTCCAGCTACTTGGGAGGATGAGGCCAGAGAATTGCTTGAGCTGGGAGGCAAAGGTTGCAGTGAGCTAAGATGATGTCACTGCACTCCAGTTTGGGCAACTGAGTGAGATCCTGTCTTAAAAAAAAAGAGAAAAAAAAGCCCTATGCCCTCTTATCACCATGAACATAAAAACCTCATATCTGCCTTCCCTCCATCCCTCCATCCCTCTCTCTCTCTCTTTTTCTTTCTTTTTTGAGATGGAGTTTCACTCTTGTTGCACAGGCTGGAGTGCAATGGGGCGATCTCTGCTCACTGCAATCTCTGCCTCATGGGTTCAAGTGATTCTCCTGCCTCTGCCTCCTGAGTAGCTGGGGTTACAGGTGCCCACCACCATGCCTGGCTAATTTTTGTATATTTAGTAGAGACGGGGTTTTGCCATGTTGGCCAAGCTGATCTTGAACTCCTGGCCTCAAGTGATCCACCCACCTTAGTCTCCCAAAGTGCTGGGATTACAAGTGTGAGCCACCCCACCTGGCCCCTTATACCTTTCTTTTGTTTTTTTGAGATGGGAATCTCATTCTGTTGATCAGGCTGCTGTGCAGTGGTGCGATCTTGGCTCACTGCAACCTCTGCTTCCTGAGCTCAAACTATCCTCCTAGCTCAGCCTCCTGAGTAGCTGGGACTACAGGCACGTGCCAACATGCTTGATTAATTTTTATGTTTTTAGTAGAGAGAGAGTTTTGCCATGTTGCCTAGGCTGGTTTCAGTCTCCTGGGCTCAAGTGGTCTGCCCACCTCAGCTTCCCAAAGCGGTGGGATTACAGGCATGAGCCACTGTGTTTGGCTAAGATTTTTGTTTTCTAAATATGACATGGTATGTATATACTGTGTACCCACAAAAATTAAAAATAAATTTAAAAAAATGATAATATAATGTTGAATATCTTTTCAAATGGTAAAATTCCTTGGTTGACACTGAAGTAGACTATTGTCTTAGATGATTCCAGAGTTGCTTTCAACTACTTTTTTTAAATTTTTATTTATTTATTTATTTATTTATTTTTAAGACGAGTTTCACCATGTTGGTCAGGCTGGTCTTGAACTCCCGACCTCAGGTGATCCGCCTGCCTTGGCCTCCAAAGTGCTTGGATTACAGGCGTGAGCCACCGTGACTGGCCTCAACTACTACTTCTAACCTGAATGCAATTTGTCAAAAAAAAATATTAATTGAACTGTTCTGTGAAGTAGCAATGAGCACTCTATCACTAGAAATACTGAAATCAGTAGGCCATTATTTAGTAAGAATGTTTTTTATGAAAGTTTCGTTGTATTAGATTTTGGGATGATATTGATTGCTTTCAAATTTATAGATATTATGGTTTATCATCATAAATGCCATGGATTAATTTCTGTGATCATTGTATGTTTTTGTATGTGACTGAGGCTTGGGAAATCAAAGCAAGGCCTGAGAAAAGAAAGACTAGAGCTGGGCACGGTGGCACGCGCCTGTAGTCCCAGCTACTCGGGAGGCTAAGGTGGGAGGATCGCCTGAGCCTGGGAGTTCTGGGCTGTAGTGCGCTATGCCGATCGGGCGTCTGCACTAAGTTCGGCATCAATATGATGATCTCCCGGGAATGGGGGACCACCAGGTTGCCTAAGGAGGGGTGAACCGGCCCAGGTCGGAAACGGAGCAGGTCAAAACTCCCATGCTGATCAGTAGTGGGATCGCGCCTGTGAATAGCCACTGCACTCCAGCCTGGGCAACATAG